ACAGATTCGTATAATAAAAGCTTTATCCTTAAGGAAAATTTCGTGAATTGGTCGAAAAGCAATTTCCAGTTACATTGTACCTATATTATTTAATTTTATTGTATATCCCCATTTTATATAAAACAAAAAGTATATAATAAATATTATTTGTAAGTTTTAGCTACACAAAAATTTGTACACAAAGTTAATGATGCTTTCATAAATAATTTCTGAGATTCACCGCTTGCAATATATGCAAAGTATTTTATTATCTTGTTCAATCATTTTAATATTTGTTATAATTTAAAGTTTATATAAATGCGATCTATTTTGCTTAGAATGTATTGATAACGAGAAGATCGATCAAAGAGTTGTATTCGTGTTTATTATTTGTATTTTGATATAGAATAATAAATTAAGATTAGGCGCAAAATATTAAGACAAAATCGAACAAAGCAGAAAGTGCCTCATGACTCCGTGTGTACTTTTTCTACGTGAACAAGATGTAATATAGAAAAAATATATATAAACTAAGCTGAGCGCGAGGTATTGTCAAATATTAAAGAAAATGTGGTATTTTTTGAAAACATTGCTTATACAAACACAAAAAAAAAATATATATATATATATATAATAAATAACATTTACATGTAATATAAATATATTTATGTGTAGTGGTAAAATGCAATTTGCTGTAAATTTTCAATTGAAAAAGTATCCATACAATCCCATAAATAAGCCACATTTAGTTGATACAGTATAACATGATTTTACATATTGTATATTATTATTGTGTGAAAATTAGTTATTCTTGATTATTTTGAAAATGCATGTAATATGTATATATAAAAAAATTACATCGATTTTGTAATAAAATTCAAAATAAGCAAGTAGTATTATCCCTGGTCCGATAAAAAAAAATCGTTTATTTTTTATGTTGATCAAATTACATTGTTGACATTGTCATTGCGCTTCTTTTTTGGTATCGCGCCCAATGATGTATCAGGATTTCGACGTTCACTCTGCGCCTGTAGTGCTGCATCATTTACAGCATCGTTCGAATTAGGGTTTGAACCTCGTGCAACCGTTGAACTAAAATAAAAGCCATATTAGATTAATCTGCAGAAAGTCTATACCACATGCAATACATTGCAATCGAATGTTCATACATGCTTACCGCATTTTATTTGCTGCATAAAAAGCGCCCTCCACAGTGGTTAATTTTTGCTTCAACTCCAGCCTCAAATATTTTGGCTCCACCGTTGCATCAGCTGCAGTAGCATTTTCTTCTTTATCTTGGAAGACAAAATGCACAACGGCTGTAGGTACGAAATCCAATTCCAACAGCGTTTTGTCCAAGGGTAAAATATATTTCGGCGGTATAGTGACTACAAAAATACAAACCGATAATAAATTAATATATAATTAATAACTATTCCTCAACGTAAAGGTAATAATATATAACATTCACCCACACAAATGAAAATCTGCCTGATCGTCATGCAGAAATTTTCGCACAAAATCCATGACATCGGAAACTTTATCAATGGGCTTGAAGATACCCTGTAGAACAAGTCGATCTGGGAACTGAATTCTTATCACACAATTCTTGTACTGCGCAATTTTATTTAGCATTGTCTTCTGTCCTTCTAATTGACGCAAACGTTCCGTAAGTAACGGTGCATCTTCATCCCCTCGAGATGCCTTTTTTAGGTCTCGTAACACCAATTTAAGGTCTTCAACTGTTAAATCGAAAAATGAATCAGGCAATTCTTCAGCCTGCGTTTGAGTATCGTCCAGCGAATATAGCACTGCGTTTCGTTCGCCGATCTAAATTAAAAAGAAAATCATAGTTAATATAGATGATATACACATATGATATGAAGAACCTACGATGTTTACTTCCGGTTCAATATCCATTTCGACTGCATCGTCCTCATTCCAATTGTTGAGGTCCTTTGCAGAATCCTGCTCATGCCTTGAGCTTTGTATGGAATAACCCACACCTGAACCCCAGTCGTATTTGGGCTTTTCCGGCTCACTCTCCTTGCTCGTCGCTGCACTAGTCGTATTTACTAATGCTGTGTCGTTTTCAGCGTTTACATTAGATGTTGATTTCTTTAGAGATTGCACCAAATCTTTTGTAATTTTGAAACCACCACTACCGCTATCACTATTTTTTATGGAATTTTGTTGTGTTAGTATTCCCTTTTCTTCATCTTCCTTTGGCTTCTCTTTAACCGTTGGTGGTACGTATACGTTAGCTTGACTTAAAAGTGAAAATGTCAATAAATCAATTAAATACATATTCTGTTACACACATACGACTTCAAATCTTCCGCACTTTTATTTATAACACGCACCATGGCACGTCCTTCAATGATACCTAGTGATTTCAGTGTAGTTTCCGTCATACGTTCCTTTCCAATTATTTCTTGACGCATATAAATGGCGACAGGGCTAGAGTAAGTTTTTAATACCTCCGAGTCAAGCTCTTCTATAACCTGCCAAAGGCTATTGCTTGGTTTAAACTCTCCCTGAACTCGAGAACCATCTTCTAGTTGAATGCAGATGTTCACCACAGACTCGGTCCTTCTGCGTTCAGTTTGTGACATTTCCAATAAGCAATTGTTGGGTAATCCGCTAAATCGGAACATTTGCGTTAGGCCAACCTCTTTATTATGATGCTTTAGGCAATATTCATGGCTGTCTAAGCCATGCTTCAGGCAAACCTCTTCCAAAATCTAAAATATTTTAGATAAGCTATGATGTAAAGGAATGTGATTACAAACAGTATACCTGTAGAATGGTTGTGTTAGGTGTGACTTTCACATTTTGTCTCCGAAAATTTGGTGTCAATACGGTCACCTTTCCTTCCATATTATTCACTTGAAATATATTTATTTAATTTTGCAAACCACGTAAAATTTCGCCTGCCGGCTTAATATAAATTGCAATCAGACAAAAGGTAGAATAATAAAAATTGAAATGTCAAAAAAGTGCATATATTTGCGATTGTAATATTCGAATTGTAATGTTGTTATTGTTTCATTAAGAACACAGCAAAGGAAACATATAAAAATAAATGCAAATATCATGATCACAGCTGACTTCAGTGTTGAATAATAATTTAAAAAAATTAAAATATAAATGAAAATTCAAATGTAAATATTTAAAATAATATTGATATTGATAATATTTATTTTAAAACGAAAAAAACTTAAAAACAATATTGTTTTTAAAGGCACGCGCCATACATATTCGTAAAGTAGAATTTAAAGTATTTTTAGTATATCACGGGGAGTATTCTAAAACACTTCCCGTGAAAATTGGTGCACGTTTCGGAAAAGCCGCTCTCCTTAACCTTTACCAAAACAATAAAAAAAAGTACATATGTACATAATGGGTACAAAATTCTGTCCAATTCTGTTTTACAAACTTAAATTATAGTTATTATTAGAATAATACGATTTATGTATTTACTTTAGAGAAAATAAGGCCCAATTTTGACATTAACTTAAATAAAGTTTTAAAATGAGCATCACTGAATTTTACAATCGATATACATAGTCCCTTAATCTAGGTCAATATCATCTTTGTTTTTTCCGTAAACAAGCAAATAAATTTCTCAACTTTTCTCTTCAAAAATTAAAATTTAAAATTTAAAGTGCTTAAAAAACTAATAGAAAAGCATCGCGCTGCAATTCGCAGAATGGCTTGGCGCTCAGTTGGTGCAGACAATGCAGATCTCATTCGCAAAATGAGGGGTAGAGTAAATACAAATATTTGGAAAAGGGGATATAAATTTGTATCAATCTACTTGTTGCAGATTTTGGAATAATTGCATCTGAAACTGTAGCCCAGGCAATGATGAAGACAGATAGAAAGTATTATTCCCCTCGAAATCCATATATGGATGCGCCGCAGTCGATAGGATATGGTGTCACTATTTCAGCTCCTCATATGGTAAATTCAAAATTGTATTTGTAAAAGGTTTCCAGCGTTTATTGTTTTATTTACCAGCATGCTTTCGCGTTGGAATATCTGCGTGATCATCTACATCCTGGTGCTCGTGTCTTAGATGTTGGTAGTGGTTCAGGTTACTTAACAGCTTGTTTTCTCCGATATATTCAAGAAAAAGGAGAGGACCCCAATACAAAAGTTGTAGGCATAGAACATCAGCCTGAACTCGTACAACAAAGTGTAAAAAATCTAAACACAGATGATCCGAAAATGCTAGAGTCAGGAAGGTTGATTATTGTTGGTGAGAATAATAGAAAAGTAAATAAATTTTTTCCTTAAATATATAATTTACAAACTCATTTAGAGGGCGATGGGCGTAAAGGTGTTCCACAATATGCTCCCTATGATGCCATTCATGTCGGTGCAGCTGCTGCTATAACGCCAAACGCACTCTTAGAGCAATTGGCACTTGGAGGACGGTTAATTGTTCCAGTTGGTCCAGAAGGTGGAGAACAGTATATGACTCAGTATGATAAAGACACCGACGGAAAAGTAAAAGAAACACGTCTTATGGGTGTTATGTATGTGCCGCTTACCGATCTAAACCGATCTTGACAAGTGTTAGCTTTAAAAATATGCATCGGTTTGCTTATTATGGGAATAATCATCTTTAAAATATGGACAAAGCTACCAATCGAGGACAGAGCTTAAATATAGAACGTCGCTATCAGCAAGTATTTTTTTTTTCAATACAATATGAAAAGGCTTAGTTATTGCATGTATCAACAATGTGAAAACTTCTTTACTTAAATAATATATTTATTGTTAATTCTGCTTGGAATATAATTTCTATTGTTTTTTTTTAATTTTATAGGTCACAACACAAATATACTCGAGATTAAATTGATGCAATTGTTGTTGGTCTTGGCGGAAGTAGATTTGCAAAAGTGTAGTATGTGATATTTCCTGACAACAGGACCTAGTGAACCATTTCAGTTACCCATTAAAATTTATTTCTATCTTGTCAATAATAATATCAAATTTATCGATAGCAAACGAAGTGTTAAATAATTCGTTGCCAGTAGAGACCTGCTGTAAGATTGTTTATGCAACCCTGAATTCTCATTTGTTTATATTAATTTAGTTGTGCAGACATATGAATTTCAATGTTTTCTATTCCTCAAGTCTATTTACTGAAACCGGTGATTGAAATATTGCATCGAAGCATATGTAGGATAAAAAGCAAATCGGGTTAAAAACGAAATCAACTTATTAATTAAACAAAATTAAGAAGAAAAGAAGTATATTATTTCTTTCAAATAGTAGATTTAAGGCGACCAGTATGAAACTACCGCAAAAGGAAGTTGAATGTAAAATTCAGACGTTACCACCCAACCCTGAAGGAGCTGGCGGACCCGAAAACCCTGAAGAAAATTGGGATTTATTGATAAAAATGATTTTGGATGCTTTCTGGAAACTATGTATGATTCATTTTATGTTCTTCCCTCATTTGCATTTAGTGTAATATTGAATATACTTATAGGGGTCCAAATAAAGCTTCTAGCATCATTTGTAATGGTTGATCTTGGCGGTTATCAATTGCTCGACAGGCTTGTGCAATGGAGCGTCAGAAATCCTCATAAAGCCATTTGTATTTTTGCAGCTTTTTTGGCATTTTTATTGCCATTTTTGTTAATGTTGGGTATTGGACTTTCGACTCTATTGATGACACTCACCGGATTTTTAGTTTTAGAAGGTATATACGCCCTCACCTGTACCATTTGACATTTTAAGTAAAGTTTACGATCTTTTTAATTTCAAGGTGTAATATTGACCATAATTGCAATGCTACTGATTGGTTGTTTGGGTTCCTTAATTTTAGTGATGCTATTTTTAAAGCAACTAAATCGAGCATAAAATAAGGTTTTAAGAATTTTTTTTATGAAATTCTGGAAAGAACTAATGAAGACAAAGTAAAGTTAGAAACAGTAATTAAATGATTGGTGTGCACTTGAAAATTGCTGTATTTATTAAAGATATTCTATAAAGAAAAAATGGATCAAAGAATGGAATAAATATACGATTATAATTGTGTAAAAAGACTACTGAAATATTAACATATTAACTCTATATACATACATATATACAAATATTATTGTTAAATGGATTGAAACGATAACAACAGAACGTAAGATAAATGTAAAAATTAAAATTTTTTGTTTCAACATATCTTTCAAATTTTAGTACATATTAACATTGGTAGGAAAAAAATATTTATACAAAAAGTTTTTACCACTCGATTAATTCTTTAGTTATCGATATTCTTAAGAATTCATAATCAAATTTTGTAAATACAGCTCTGCATATTCAGCACTTTYACGAGTGGTGTTGAATACTTCAGCAAAGCATTCGTGTAATTTGCGTGAACTCGTATTGTCTTAAAAATTTTCTTCTCCGCGAAAATTTGTTTTCTATAATAAAAAAGTGCATTAAATTAATTAAAAAGTGTGAAAAAGGGTCGTCTTACATAAACTAAGCGGTAAGTTAATAAATGTGAAAAGAGATATATGTTTTTACGAGCAATATCGATTCGTAAATAGTTGGTATTTGGAAGGGAAGTAAGTGTATTTGCTGGAGGTGTGGTGCATAAAAGAGGTGTACGAAGTCTCGCACTTGATGTTGTTGCTGCTTCTGCTGGTGCAATTCTTTGTATGTATACATGTGTAGTCATATATTTGTTTTTACTTTGTCGAAACGTTGCATTCAGCATTTCTTACACATTCCATAACCAATTCTTTTGAGGGAACTACAGTACGTATTTATAATCATGGATAATCATTATCCATGTTTATAATTTTCATTCATTAATATAGTCGTATCTTTCTGAAATTGTGGCAATATATGTGTATGTATATATGTATATACATTTCAAGATTTTAGCATTTGTGTATTTTTTTGAAATCGTAAATGTTTTCATCAAACGATTAGTAAATATTAGTCTAATTCATAATGCAGTATAAATATCCATACCAATTTCTACCTGAATTTGAAAAACTAAAATACTGTCCTTACAGTAATTAACCTGCGGCAAGTCTTTCCGTATTTACATAGTAGCCATCTTGAAACTGTTTGAAGTTGGTATACAATAACAAAATGTGTTAGTTCTAGCGTAGCTGCAAGAAGGTATTTTGTTTGATATAGACAGTTTCTTATATGTTTAAAGTGTTCATATATCTTTCTCATACTTCTCTATTCAATATTATTTTGAATTTATAATTGTTTTAAATTGATGTATTCTTTGAATAACCAATATCTAATAAATAAAATAAGGAAACAACTTTCACAAGTCTCGGGGAGCTATTTCCTGCAGGTAATAAAAAAAATTAAGACAATAGAAATGCATGAACTATTCTTTAACTCCAATTGTATTAAATAGAGTTGCCGTCTATCTATCTTAAGATGGTTCAAAAATATAATATTATGCCACAATATGATTATTCCGGGCATTCCTTTATTATATGTATATAAACATTCACGCATAAATTTATTAATAAAAGGTTATGCAATTCCACGAAATGGTTCTTAGCTAACATTTAAAAAAAATGTATGTTATCACTTTGCGGGTAACTCTTGCATTGACTGACTGACCTGCGCTTGTGCACGATTCTTGCCTGCTTCATTGTCTTGCAAGGGCCGATTGTGTTTGCGCTTCTTTGGCATTTTTCTGTTTTACTCGACTGTTCGTTGTCGGCTTGCATACATCAATAAACAAGTCGCTAAAACGTCGTATAGTGTAAAACGTGAGTCAAATTAACATGTTATTTTAAAAAATATTTACTTGTAAAAGCAAGAACAAATACACATCTTTTATTTGTTTTTGTTCCTTCTGTTTAAATGAAAGATTTTTGTAGTTTTGTGTGATCTATGTTCAGATTGTCTACAGCTCTATTTCATCAATAATAGTTTGGTTGACGTGCCTTACAAATTTTGGTTATAAGGTTTGCTACTTTATTGATGTAAAGTGTTTATATTTGAACACAGACTTTCCTTCAGGAAATATATATCATTATAATTTTTAGAAATGTATTTATTATCTTACGAGTTTATTATTAAATATATTTTATTTTTATTTTTTAGGTGTGGTGTGCTCTTCCTAAATCACCAAGATGAGTTACATGCCAGCGCAAAACCGTACAAGTAAGTTGAAAATTAAAGGAAATGGAATTTTATTATTAGTTCAACATAACGAAGAAATTAACAAATGTAAACAAACTACTTTGAATGATTTTATTAACAGACTTATAGGAATAAAATTTAAGTGTATGTGAATATTACTACAATGGGAAAACCGATGTTCAACATATTTAAATATACAAAATGTGTTTCTGTTCGTTAGTAACCATTAATCATATTATTTTATTAATTTCATTTTTATTTTTATTAAATTTTCATGGTTGGCTTTTCTCAGTCTGTAGGCTAAAGTGCTTTTCCAGTAAAATGAGGTATATTTCCTCCCATAATAATTTTGGAAATTGCTGAAATTATATACTTGAAAGTTGTTAAATTGATTACGCATTCAATTTCCTTTCTAGTATATTATAAAAGAAGGGTTGCGGGCGTTAAAAATGCAATCGTACATATATAATGCTACCCACATTATTCCCACATGCACAGTTGTGTTCACGAAAATAGCAACATGTCCTGAGTGAAGTCCGAAAGTACAAAATGCAGTATTTCCAGATCTTTAGAATTATATTATATATCGATAATGTAAATATGTATGTTTAAATGCAACATGTGTTGCTATTTTCCCCCAGCTTTTATATATTTACTTCTATACATACATGTACCCTTACAACATACATATGTGTGAAAAATATAAATAAATTTATGTCGACAAAACAGAAATTCTTGAGTTCACACACATATTACTTGTAGTATATACACGTATATAAATGTATGGTTTCAAATAATGTGCAGTATGAATAAATCGAGTCCTTAAAATAATGTTTGTATGAATGCCTACTTGTTAATATTGCAAACGTAGACTTTTCACGACATTTGGTGGAACTGTGTTTATACTTGACACGAGTACACAAGTGGATACATATGTATGTACGCATACGAACCACCCCCATTTTAGTTCGATGGGTTTTTATGCCAATACTTCATTTCAAAGGCAATTGATGCGGACTTTTGCCAGCAGGCATTTTAAATTAACCACTGTCAATGGGAGAAATGCATGCGCATGCACGCGCACTTTTCTGAAATCTTGGTATATATTTGCATATGAATCTAAAAGTGCTTTGGGTGGCATATGTCGGTTGGAAATTTTTCTTTATTATCAAGCTATCATTAAGCCTTTTGAAGAGCTCTTGTAATGCTGTAATTTGATGAAGGCGCACTGCCAGCAACAACTCGAGTATACAAAGAAAACTTATGCTCATATATGGTATATTACATTGTGGTACTCTTTAGATCCATGTTGGCCATTCACACTGCCAATGTAATGTCTGCGCTTTTGACATGCATCAGAGTTTGATTTTTACTGCCACTTTTTGGGCTGACTTACATAAAAATATAAAAATACGATTTTTACGCTTTGATTAACCAAAGTTTTGCTCCTTTGCGATGATGATGAATGTTACACATATACCTACAAATATAATATTATACAAGCATATACATATTTATGTAGGGTGTTCATATTCGATGCAGTTGAAATGTCGTTTTCCACCCTTTTTGGAAGATAGCACACTGTATTTACATGGGTATATACACAGTAAGCCATTATATGTACATATGTTAAATATAAATCTTCTAAATAAATAAAAAGAACAAATTTGTTTAGCTAAAGCTTTTAATTTGACTGGCATGTCCTCAGAAATTATTCGATTAAATTCAAAATAAGTGTGTGTGTGTGAACCTACTTGAGCTGGTCTGCCATTTTTTATTCAGTCTATTTGATTACTATATGTAGTTGCATTGAATTTATACCAGTTGCTGATTCGAGCAGCTTGTTATTGCTTATGCCGGCCGGTCTCTTTGATATAAGCAGGTTGTTTGTTTGATTCACTACTTTATCGCATGGAAAACGTATTTACATAAATGATCTCCTTTTGTGACTTAAAGGCAATTTAAGAAAATTTGGCAGTTTGGTTATTTAAAGACAACTTTACTGCCGATTTGTCTAACGCAGTATTGTAAAATATGCCAATAGTTTACCCATAAATTGAATTTGTCAATTTAAGAAACAAAAAAAACTTAAAATACACAAAAGGAAAAAATGTAGGTTTGTAGGTGACAAACGGCAGCTATGAGAGTTTGTAACTCGCGAAAACAGCTGATTGTAATTTTTATAATATTTTCAATGAAAATGAATAGAAGATAAACATTGCGGCATTGTTACAAAAACAAATCAATGTGTTATTTTTAGAACTGCGTCATAACATAACATCTCTTGTTTTGTTTTTTGAATTTTGAAAAAAAAAGCTGTCAGTTTTGCCTGCCGGCTGTCAAGGCTATAACCGTTACGGATTCTGATTTTTATCCGGTCAAGGATTGTCAAATCGCGACATTCCTCCATACTACTACTAGGAATGTTCTAATGTTGTCGCTACAACAACATCAATAACAGTAACGCTTCACCAATACAAAAGATTTCACACAAGAACTTGATTTTAACCTGTTATTTACTATGACAAGCTATATGTTATAGTTCTGGAGATCTGTACAATTTATTCCTAGACTGTAAAAAGTTTACATCTTTGCAATAGTTATTCAATTTTATATTTAAGAAGCATTAAAATGGGGGACAAAAAAAATGTTGAGCTTTTAGGGTAGATTAAAAAACGCCACCGTCATAATTTTGTCGCATATTCTATTCGTGCCTTCGATACACACATACGCACACAGCCCATCCACACCGCTGCGTCCGTTTTAGTGTTGTGGTGCTCGTTGATTTGTATGAATCGTTGAATTTTAAACTGTCTGGCTTTAAAAAGTTCCTTTCTTTCAAGTGTCTGGCACAGCAGACCAATATGTCTGACAGCATCAATATCATCAAACACTTTATGCACACAAATGGGTTTGCATCAGCAAAATTGTTCTTTTGATGGAAATTCAATATGTATAAATGTAACTGAACAAGTGTTTGAACACCACAAGGCCTTGCATATCGAAGCATCATCATCATCATCATCAACAGCCAAATCGTCATCATTATGATTGCAATAATTATGCGCTGTTAACTTGAAACCGTTAAAAATGTACTCAGCTTCACACTGCCAAATCTTCTACTTCTATTAATTTTTTATACGCTCGCCGCGCCAACAACCAACCCCCATTTCCCAACGTGGGTGGTGTGGGCTGCCAGTAGGAGGTGCGGTTGGCAGACCTTTGTCAGCACAATGCAACTGTTGTCACTCTAACCAAAGTGTGACGACTCGACTGCCGGCTATGCTCGCACACCTACACACATACTAACCAACCTGACCAATGCTCTTTGGAGTGCTATACTTTTCGCATCTACATTTACATACATATTTTCATATTTTTCTTAACTTTTTCCCTAAGAATCATGTATGTATGTATGTGCAAAGCTGTCAACATATCTGGTACCGTTGTTGTGTTTGCATTCGTGTCGCTTTGTAATCCGAGTTCTTGTCACTGCTTTGTAATGTTTTAATGTCAATGCTGGTTTTGTTCTTTTCGTTGTCATTTTGTGACAATGTGTCGTAATATCCGTGGTCGGCGCTTCTGGCCATTTAGTTTACTTTAAAATAATGTTCTCATTCACACTATGCGATGAGTTTTACCTATGAGCTTACGTATTCATTCACGTAGTCTGGATTCAGGAAGTGTCAGTGACTGCGCTTCCACTCTTTTAACTTGTTGTTGTTTTTATTTTTTTTAGTAGGAATTTAATGCGTTAACAATAGAAAATGGTGGGTGCTTTTCTAAAGTAAAATTAATAATTAATCAAAGTAAAATTTTATTGAGACTGTAGATTGGTCCATTTCGGGTATGGGCCGGTAATATAGATCCGACTAAAGTGTGAATGGAACATTCATACCCATTCGGCAACTCTTCAAATTACGTTCCCAAAAAATATTTCTGAAAAGGGAATAAAAATTTGCTACAATTTATTTATTTGTTGCAAACATTTAGGCGTACGCGTTGATCAATAAAGAATGCCTGGCATAAAATCCGTAAAGAAAATTTATTTCAGAATAAAATTAAGCAAAGTTATCTTAAAAATTCTTCATATTAAATTTAATATAATCGTTTTTAAATTTCAGTGTCGCATAACAATCAATACAATCCTCCGGACCTGCCGCCCATGGTCTCGGCCAAGGAGCAAACGTTAATGTGGCAGCAGAATTCGTATCTGGGCGATTCTGGTATTCATTCCGGTGCGGTCACACAAGTACCATCGTTGTCGGGCAAAGAGGATGAACAAATGGAGGACGATCCACTTATGTTCGATTTGGATACTGGCTTTCCACAAAACTTCACCCAAGAGCAGGTGGACGATATGAATCAACAGCTGAGTCAGACACGTTCGCAGCGTGTACGTGCCGCCATGTTCCCCGAAACTTTGGAGGAGGGCATCGAAATACCATCGACTCAGTTCGATCCCCAACAGCCCACAGCAGTGCAGCGCTTGTCGGAACCATCACAAATGTTGAAACATGCCGTAGTAAATCTTATCAACTATCAAGATGATGCCGAATTGGCCACACGTGCCATACCCGAATTGATCAAGTTGTTGAATGATGAAGATCAAGTGGTTGTCTCACAGGCCGCCATGATGGTCCATCAATTGTCGAAGAAAGAGGCTTCTCGCCATGCCATTATGAATAGTCCTCAAATGGTTGCCGCTTTAGTGCGTGCCATTTCCAACAGCAATGACTTGGAGAGCACCAAAGCTGCTGTGGGTACGCTACACAATTTGTCACATCATCGTCAGGGCCTGTTGGCTATCTTCAAGAGTGGTGGCATACCGGCTTTGGTGAAACTGCTGTCATCACCTGTTGAGAGTGTGCTCTTCTATGCCATTACTACACTACATAATTTGTTGTTGCATCAGGATGGTTCGAAAATGGCCGTGCGCCTGGCTGGTGGCCTGCAAAAGATGGTCACCTTGTTGCAGCGCAATAATGTGAAATTCTTAGCCATCGTTACGGATTGCTTGCAAATTTTGGCCTATGGCAACCAGGAGAGCAAATTGATCATACTGGCTTCGGGCGGTCCCAATGAACTGGTACGAATTATGCGTTCGTACGACTATGAGAAGTTGCTCTGGACTACTTCGCGTGTGCTAAAGGTACTCTCCGTATGCTCGAGCAATAAGCCAGCCATTGTTGATGCTGGTGGCATGCAGGCTTTGGCTATGCATTTAGCCAATCCCTCACCACGTTTAGTGCAAAACTGCTTGTGGACACTGCGTAATCTATCCGATGCCGCCACCAAGGTAGATGGTCTCGAACCACTACTGCAATCCTTGGTGCAGGTATTAGCCTCGACGGACGTGAATGTTGTCACTTGTGCCGCTGGCATACTTTCGAATTTAACTTGCAATAACCAACGCAATAAAGCTATCGTTTGTCAAGTTGGTGGTGTCGATGCACTGGTGCGCACCATTATAAATGCCGGTGACCGCGAAGAGATCACCGAGCCGGCTGTGTGCGCATTGCGTCACTTGACCTCACGTCATGTGGACTCTGAATCGGCACAGAACGCCGTACGTCTCAACTATGGACTGTCGGTGATTGTAAAGCTTTTACATCCACCATCACGTTGGCCGCTAATCAAGGCCGTCATCGGCTTGATACGCAACTTGGCCTTGTGCTCGGCCAACCATGCACCATTGCGCGAACATGGCGCCATACACAATTTGGTGCGCCTCTTAATGCGCGCATTCCAGGATACTGAACGCGTAAGTAGTCAAATATTTTGTTAAAAATCAAATTATTTACTAAATTCGTATAATAATTCTATTATTTATTTGCAGCAACGTTCATCTGTTGCCACTACCGGCTCCCAACAGCCATCCGCTTATGCCGACGGCGTACGTATGGAGGAGATCGTCGAAGGCACCGTCGGTGCTCTACACATATTAGCACGTGAATCGCACAATCGCGCTTTGATACGACAACAATCTGTCATACCGATATTTGTGCGTCTACTTTTCAACGAAATCGAAAATATACAGGTTAGTCTGCCAAACGCTTATTGTATTTTGTGTCTATTTAAATTTACAATGTCTTGTAGCGCGTTGCCGCTGGCGTACTTTGTGAGTTGGCCGCCGATAAAGAGGGCGCCGAAATGATCGAGCAAGAAGGTGCCACTGGTCCGCTTACCGACCTATTGCACTCGCGTAACGAAGGTGTTGCTACCTATGCAGCAGCCGTGCTATTCCGCATGAGCGAGGACAAGCCACAAGATTACAAAAAGCGTCTTTCTATTGAATTGACCAATTCGTTGTTGCGCGAAGACAACAATATGTGGGGAAATGCTGATTTAGGCATGGGTCCGGATCTACAGGTGAGTCATCAATGTGAATATAGTGCACTGTAGTACCATTTGTGAGTTTTTAGCGTGTAAAGCAAAGAAAACTCTAAGCTAGCGTAGCGTAAATTAGACGCTTATCTCATTGTAAGCTTAGCAAAAGTAAATAATCATAAAAAAATATCAACGAATTGGTCTGCTCAAAAACTCTCTGTATGCGTATTTAAAGTATTCCAACTGTTTACTTGTGTATATACGTACCTACATAAATAAATTACCCTAGTCTACAATTTTTATTTCGCTTCAATATAACCTATATTTTATTACTACCTTTATTTACTTAGAGCATAGCAGAAATTGTAAATATAAGTAACATAAGCGATTATGCTTAGAAACGTTAATTTTTATCTAATTAAACGATAGTACAGATTTTATTATATAAATTATTCACACAAGTAATAGGCGGTCCTCAAAGCGGTTCACTGTCGAAAGTTTTTAGTGGAGTTGAGCACTTTTTTTTATATTTTAATCAGAGTATATTGAGAAGGAAGCGCCGGAGATTCTAAAAAGTGTATATATATACAATATGTGAATTATCAGCGTGACAAGCTATATCTATTTAGCCATGTCCGTCTATCTGTCTGTATATACGCGAACGAGCCTTTCAGTTTTTAAGATATCGCCTTGAAATTTTGCACACGTTCCTTTCTCCCCAAGAAGCTGCTCATTTGTCGAAACTGCCATTATCAGACAACTATAGCATATTGCTGCCATAAAAACTGATCGATCATAAACTATGAAACAATGGAAAACTTTTTTGTTTGACAAGATATCTTCATGAAATTTGGCATTGATTATTGTCCAACGCGAGAGTACAATATCTGAACAAATTTTTCATTACATTACATTTAGACACTTAACTCTTACAAAGAAGGTTTGAGACATAAAATTTTTAAACCTGACACTTGCCTACTAATCCAGCGCTAGCTTTAAAGCACCTTAGCTAACTGTGAGCCACTAAAAAATTTGTTTTCAGGACCACCATACTTGTATTGGCATAGCGTAGTTTTCCGATGGTTCTGCAACCGTTATTTAGTATTATTTTTCTATTAGCTTTAAGTTTATTATTATTATTTTTTTTTTTTGTTAAATAACTTATAATTTTAATTTCTTCTTTGTTCCTTTTTTATGTACTTCGTTTGTAACACAATCACAAAAACAACCAACCGTTCACCTTATCACCATACACACCGTCGCAATTATGTTGACAAAACACCGCAATTTGTGCTAAAACGTTGAAAATTTCAACAATTCGCTTAACCATCACGAAATCACCACGACTATCGCTACAATTTTAATTCAATTGCAATTAATGAAATATGAAAAAAAAAACATTAAACGTTTAAATGCCACAACCACCATATCACCACTGAAACCTTGTCCAACACCTGTCCAATTGCACTTCCTTGAAAATCATTTGTATCCTAACAACTTTTTGCAATTTTCGCAACGTCACACACAGGATATGCTTGGACCCGAACAAGCATATGAAGGTTTATATGGGCAGGGCCCGCCGAGTGTGCACAGCTCACATGGAGGTCGAGCATTCCAACAAGGTATGTATGATGAGTTCCCATACCCCACTCTCGCCAGTTAAAAAGAAATAACAAAATTGAATAAAAATACAAGTTGAAACATTTTCCGTTAACTTGCGGTTTTCGTAAATATGTAAACTCGTTACGACAGCATGATGCGTTCGTTCGTCAAACTAATAAAAAAACGAAAACTAAAAAACATGAAATGAGAAAAGATAAATCAAAATTCATTAACAGCCTAATTACGTAACTTCGATTGATAGCTGCAAAACAAAATTATACCATAATAATTACCCTAAATCATTAAAATTGTGTCTTTTACATTTTCTTCAACTCACACATTAAACATCGCCCTTCACTGCCAGATTGAAGTAAACGTCTAATTACCCTTTAATCATCAACCCTGTTTAGTTATATGTTATATAAACCATTTGAAATGAGGTTGTATACGCTTGTTTGACGTTATCATCCAAATAAATAAAATTAAAGTATTTGGAAAAATGCTTCACATCATCTGAAATTGGACAAAGCACATTAACATAAAATAATGCACACAAATCCGATGCTAAAATACACGTTCAACCTTATAAATACACACCACTATAGTAATCGCGTGTAACTGTAGTGAAATATTTTAGTTTCAAAGCGTATTTTAAAGGAAAATCTTGTTTATTTTACTGGCAATCAATGAAATAGCTAGTAACTCTTTGAAAAAAAGTGTGCTACCATCTTACGATCTTCAAAATTTAAGTATTGCCTACATTGAGGCGTTCAATGTACAAAATTGGGAATGTAAGTGTACAAAATTTAAAAATAGTTAAAATAAATTAAAAAAGTGAATTATGTTGTTCATTAAAATTTAATTTGAACATAAATTTATCTTAGTTTTCGAATAGATTTTTCGAACGTACCAACTTTGTGTTCGAAAGTCTAAGCTAGTTACTCATAACAAAAATATTTCACTTCAGTTAGCTTTTTCAAATACCCCTAAGAATATTTTTGAGAAAAAAATAATAGCTTAATACCATATATCCATGCAACCTGAACCAATTCACAATAATCTCATCACAAGTAGTAGTATTGAAAATCCTTTATGAAATCCACGCATTTGAGAGTAACGCTGCAAGTTCATTCACCTTAAATAATGCGTTATCTCCGTTATTTCTGCTTTTTTCAGTTAATTTCCACTATTTTTTCAGTTCTTACAATGCAACTACTATATATAACAATTAGTGCGTATGCCTAAATTAGTAGGGGTTTAATAGCCATTCATTTACCAATTAATCACTCATGCCGTGCTTTACCATGCCATGTATTGATATGTAGAAGAACGATCACAAAGCTAGTAGTAGTACAACCAACCAACATCCATCCATTCACCAACTCACTCATCCAAAAAGCAAAGTAAAGCAATCGATTCAATTACCTATACTATGTAGTCGTAAATTTTGCAAAAAAATATCGTAACGAAGAATTAACCAAACGTTCTCTCTCTTTCTCTCTCTCTCTCTCTATCTCTCGCTCGTTTACTCTACTCGCTATTTCTCAACGGATCGCTTGCTTGCTCGTTAATAATGTAAACTAAATACATACATAATACTTAAATTGTGTTAAATTAATTAATGATAAACAGTTAAGCCAGCCTAACATATATCATCACTAAAAATAAATACAATCTCTGAACGATAAACGAATTTAAAGCCAAAAAACAAAACCAAGTAAATAAAATTTAATTTAAAAACCAAATATTAAAGCGATACAAATTTTTGTCAAAAAAAAAAAACAAAAAAAAAAAATAGTAAGCATAAGTAAAATGTATTAACACGTATACATGTATACATTACTCAAAGTATTCGTAGGCAGTAAGATTTAAGATTTACAAGTTTTGCATTGCGAGCAAGCATACTCACTGAATTTCGAAATCAAAAGCAAGAATGTAAAAATGAAAATATAAAAAAAAAAAATAAAAAACACAAACAAAAAAGCAACTGTAGCGTACCCGTTGAATGCTTTAAAGCTAAGATTACTCATCCGAAATCAATAATCCAAACCACCAGCCAGTCAAAGAAAAAAACAAACCAAACAGAGCCAGCCAGCTTAGGAATGGCACTCGCTTGCGCGCGTACAAACAATGACAAATTCCTCCATATAGGTGACTAAAAATGAATTTGTTGTGCCTTTTCTTTTACCGTACAATTATGAGATTTTGATTTTGCTTTCATTTTATAATTTACCATTTTTATAGACTTTCGGTATGTAATTTAAATTAAATTTAGTGCGTAGTAAGTTGACAGTAGATTTATTTCGTGAATTTTAATTTAATTTTAACTTTTGATTTAGAATTTAAGAATTTAGCATACCTACAATTTTCGTTCTTCGTTAGTACTTTTGCAGCTTTATTTTGTACATTTGACTCTTGCACACGTTATTGTTAAATTTTTGAGATGAAATTTATGTACATACTTATATACACTCATGTATATTATGTATATGTATCCCTTCGTACTTAAATTGTAGCATTTTTTGTGCATTCATGTTTATGCATGGCTTTATTGCACTCTCTTAAGTTTTCGATAGAACTTTTTTTTCTGATTATGAAAACTTTGTACACTACATGAAGCAAATTTTTAGAAATCTTCACCAATGTTCGAGTATACATATATTAAAATCTTAATTATGAAAACCAACATTATTCTTTAGATGTATTTAAAAAAAGAAACTGACATTTGTTGCCATCTGCTATTTAATCGATTAATGCTCGATAATTGACATTACAATTGCTATAACGCGATACGCTTTCATAATATAATATTAAAGAAAAAAATAAAATTAAAAAAACGTGATTTCGGTAACTAAGATTGTTATATCGCTTCAGATTACTAGGGCAGAACGCGTTCATATTCTTATTTTCTTACAATCCAACTACCATATATAGTAAAAGTGATTATTTTTGCAGCTAGTTTCCAGCTCAAGGAATTTTCTTTCCGAGATCAAAAATATAATTACATGAATGAATATACTTTGCAATTCTTGCGATCTTATAAAAGTAGACAACTTCCAGGTATCAACACACATACAAAAAGACTTCATGGGAAAGGGATGTTTTAAATTTGCATGAAAATACTTGGAAACCGATTTGTTTTGTTTTTTTTTTGCTGAAATCAAGATTATATTTTGCGCAAATGACACCTGATTTTTGCATGTGATTTCGTTGTGTAACCAAAACCAAATCCACTTGTATAGAAAAGTGAAAATACGTTCAAAATAAATCTCTTTTAAAACTGAATACTTACTATTGCAACACTTTTTTCACAGGATATGATACTTTACCAATAGATTCAATGCAAGGCTTGGAAATAAGCAGCCCAGTGGGTGGTGGCGGCGGCGGTGGTAATAGTGTTCCACCAAGCGGTGCACCAACTTCACCATATTCGATGGATATGGATGTAGGTGAGATCGATGCTGGGGCCTTGAATTTTGATTTGGATGCAATGCCGACTCCACCAAATGACAACAACAACTTGGCCGCTTGGTATGACACCGATTGTTAATAAGCTAATATTATGAAAACAAAACAAAATTAAACATTTTAAAGTCGACTCTACTGTTCTTATTTGATTATATGAGTTCGTATTCTTTATTTACGATAGTATTAAGTTTCTGCTTCCATTCGAGGATTAAGCTTATGAATTACTCCTTTTACATTCATACATACATACATACACTATTTACATTTTATAATTACATATTGATTTTTATTAAAACACACATTTTTTCGGCATCTAAAACGAAGCGAGCATTTTTATTTTCTGCAACGCAATGTCGCCAAATTAGCCAAAGGCTATTTAAATAAGAACAAAAAATACGTACACACAAACATATAAACGCATTTAGAGATTCAAATATTTAAGGGGCTCATTCAAGTGCATCGAATCTTAAGTCTTAAAACATATAGATACATTAAAAACCGATTAAAAAATAGAAATTTGAAAGTTAAAAAAATAAATTACATGAGAAAAGTAAACAACACATCACTGTAATCCAAAATATCTATGAAAGAAAATCAGCCACAAGTTGAAAAAGGAGTATTATCAAGAATTTTTGTAGAAGGAATAAATTAAAAATTACTTAAATGTACAAGCATATCCACAGATAAGACACTTACATACATACTTACTGAACTTACAAATTACACATTTACATACATATGTGTTATTTTTATCATGCAAACAAAAAAATTCTTATCTGTAACATGTGCAAGCGTAAACGCTATTTGAATAAATATGTGAATGTTTTCACATTTTATGGAATTAAATTTCAAAGTGTTTAATTACTTATGTAATCAATGGAAATCGTAAGTATTATTAATTATGTTCCTACGATACCTGGCGAAGATGTCACTTCCTCACAAGAATTCAAGTGACGTTTTGCGCTGTACCGTACCTTCGTTAACTTTAACAAAACTAACTGGGTCGGCTTAACAGAATTTCGGCTTTCACAATTCCTATGGAAGTAATCGTTGGCGAACGTCCGCAAGGTGATCAAAGCAGGTATCGCTCGCTTCATCCCATCTGGAAGAATCGCGGAACTCCGTACTAATTTCTCAACCGAAGTAGCTGTTTTAGGTAATGAGCGTGACAACTTGTGCCGCGTATATCCTTGTATAAGCGATCTCAATTCTGACGTTAGCGTTGGACACCGTCAATCACAAAATTCTACTTAAGGTCATCGAAAAATCTACGGCTAGTCGGCAGAATATAGCGAAAAGATAAAGAAACTTTGTTGGCAACATATAAGGCAATCAGCCAGCCGGTCCTCAAACATATCAGGACGACAGGATGCCTTCATAGTGAGGCCCGTATACCCCCAATTAAGAAGCATTTCGCAAAAAATATCCCTATCGTCACCGATTCCTAGTAACGTCAAGAGAGCCTTAATCAACTATGTCGACGATGTAAAACAATACCCCGACTAGACTTCGGACGCAACATTTCATTGAATGACGTACTTGAAGTCAAACTACCTCCCATTGCAGACGAAGAACTCGTGGTGCATGGAGAAACGAGAGTCACCCCTTGCGCCGCTTTGTTCTGGGTAATGTGGCTGGTTAAACTCCTACTTATCCAGAATAGAGCCTGACATATGACCCCCTTTGCATGCCCTGCTAACCCTACACATCTGACATCACTCTCCAGTCGAAACAACACGTTTCCTGGCCTGTAATGTCGACAAGTGCGCTTTCACCGTTTCTTGACTACTAAACTGTAATAGGATTTCATTGAAATAGCTTATAAAATGGTTACAATTCATTTTAATATCGTGTCTTTGCCGTTAACCGACATTTTAGGTAGCTGTAGGTACCGTAGTTTTCAAAAACCACATTCAATTTCGATACTACTATGTTTCATTTGTGTTACCTTGTTATTTGGTTTAAGTCTATGCTTAAGATTTGGACATTATTGCCACATTTACTGGCGTACTTAAATAATTTCGAAAGAAATTTCTTTGTACAGGCAAACAACCACACGACATGAATTTTTTTTTTTAAATTACAATGTTTTTATTACTGCAACCAATTTTATAAATTTATATTTTTATATATTTTGTAGAATAGCTTCCTTTTTTGCAGCCAATTTTATTTCTTAACGTCTTGTCAAAATCAAACCGCAACTATTTATATATGCACCACAAAAATCAGAAATTAAGCTAAATGTTGAGAAAAGAAAATACTTCTCAAGGCAAATATGAAATATTTACTTTATATTCACTAAGCACAATATATAGTATATCAATGGAATTTAATTAATATTATTTCAATTTTACATTTAAAAAAAAGTTTGTTACAAAATAATGGCAGCCCTGTTTACTGCACAAGTGCTGTTTGCTTGAAAAGAAATGGCCCCACGGATTTTGACGTTAGTCATCGCCGCAGAAAAGAAGTAATGAAATTCCAATTGTTCACAAATTCGCGGCTGACAATATAATTATATTATTTTTTCATCTATTTACTGTGAAGTGAAAAGTGTAATAGTGTATAAAAACAGCATAAATATCGCAGCGGTTGGATCTGCAAGAGAAGAATTTGATAGCAGTAATTGTTGGTGGACAAGTCAACATTACCAACAGAGGAAATGGATAGCAAGGGACGCAATGTTATCGTGTGCGATAATGGAACCGGTGTATGTATTATGGTTTATAGGTCTGACCACACCTATACAGATTTCATTTTTACGCGAAGTGTTTCTAAAATACAATATTCGTTTACCTTATCAAAATTAAGCTTGTGCAAGATGTCACTTGGCATTGAAGTATTTGTTTGCTTGGTTGTTTGTCAACTTGGCCCTATGTATATGCATAGATCCCCATAGCAAATTTAAATATTTAAATAGATACGTGGTTCGTGTGGCTCCAAAACGCACTTAATGCTGTGCTAATAAATGTTTTTCACTTTATGCTTGCATATGCAAGTACCATGCTAATATTTAAAATTAGTGAAAAAGAAGGTATGTTGCATTAGTCACGCCAAGTGGCTATTGAAAGCAGCCATAAATGTGGCTTTCTTTATCTGCTTTTTATTATCTATGACTTTGAGTTTGCTTACAATACATATTTGAATTCATTGTTAGTAATATGCTGCTGTTATTTATAAGAAATTTAAATTGTATATTAATTCGCAATAATAATTAATATTTTAATTTCAAAGCTACTTATTTCATTTCTATGTTAATATGATGTTAAGATTGTTGGTTTTATATTTAAACGGGTTAAATTAATGTTTCCTAAAATTTTTAAACTTTCAAGGTTCCAAGTCACATAAATTTTTGTACATTTGTGCTACTCGCTCACATATCTTTTACTTTTAATTCATTGCAGTTTGTCAAATGCGGTTATGCTGGTAGCAACTTCCCCGCGCACATATTTCCCTCCATGGTAGGCAGACCGATCATACGCGCGGTTAATAAAATTGGTGACATAGAAGTGAAGGTGAGTTTGAAATTGTTACAATATTTACAAATTACAATAATATAAGTAATTTTACTTAGGTCTTCAATATTTTTAGAAGTGAAGTTTTTATCAACAATTTGTTAGTAATATTTAAAATGCCACTTAAATAAGTTGTTGATAAAAGTTTCTGTATTCGATTGAAAATATGTGGTTAGTTAATGTGCTATAGTGCTTCTTTCTTATTACCTACAAACATACATAAAAAAACTGAATGTAACTAAAAGTTAAAAAACAAAACTATTACATTTATATTAAAAGACTATTCTTACGTATTTTTCTGTTCTTTTCATTGACTTTTTTATAAATATTTTTACAGGATTTACATGTCGATGTAAGTCTATAGTTTTAGTGACACCATTTAACTTAAAATTGTGAACAAATTAGAGTTATTAGTTTAATTTAGCAATGCCTCAAGTTTATATAATTGCAAAATGTCTTGATAATTACTAAAATATAAAACCTGTATGCAAGTGTAAACGCTTCGCAAACAGCTGCAGCTCATGTAACAATTGTTTGCTAGACAAATGTTCAGGCTACATTTGGCGCATACCTATTGACTAACTCGACCACCTTGCATAGAAAGTCGCTAGCTAAGCAATGTTATTGTTTTCTGAATGTTCGAAAAAATCTAATATTATGCTAGTTTGTTTATCTACTGTTATTATGTTTTTCGTGTTTATTAATTAAAATATTCCACTTTTACTTTATGGTGTAAAAAGGCGTTGAAATCTTCGTACTAACAAAATTGCTAATACTAACATTTTTCGCATGTCAGTGTTTTTCAATCGCAGTTTGAATTTGAAAGAAATAAAATCTATATATATTTTTTTACTTCTCGAGTTATATAGTAAGTGTGAACATTTTGGACAAAAAATCAATATTTTTAAAAATTAAACATTACTTTTGTTTATATAAAAATTATTTGAAATTTCTCAGCTTAGTAAATAAATATATTCCAGCGAATTTATAAAACGCGAGCTTTCTAAAAATCTGCTTACAATTTAGACTATTTTGAGCTAGTATTTCAAGCAGAAGTAAAAAAATTCAAAAAAATTGCAAAATATTTGTTGCTGCAAACATTTCAAAAATACATTTTCACCGTGTGCTGTTGTATTTAGATCCCCAATCTGCCACTTTGCCATAGCGGAGTGAACCTGATTGTATATATGTATTTGTAGTTGCAAATAACCTAAGCTGAAATCGCGATTTCGTCTAGATTGAGCTTTATTTACAATACATATAAATTTGTTTGTACAGTGTTTCAGCAATTTCCCGATTAATTTGTTATGCGTTCTATAAATTGTATTTTTGTATTCGCATGCTTGATTTACTACATGCTTCTATTATTGGTGTCGCACAACAAAACTTTTACAGGATCTTATGGTGGGTGATGAAGCCTCACAGCTACGTTCGCTCCTAGAGGTATCCTATCCAATGGAGAATGGTGTGGTGCGCAATTGGGAGGATATGTGTCACGTGTGGGACTACACATTTGGACCGAAAAAAATGAATATTGATCCAAAGAATACAAAAATTCTGCTTACAGAACCGCCCATGAATCCCCTGAAGAATCGGGAAAAGATGATCGAAGTAAGTCTACTAAAATTGCCATTTACAATGTATGGAATTTTAATAATATAATACTATTCCGCAGGTGATGTTTGAAAAGTACGGTTTCGATTCGGCTTACATTGCAATACAAGCGGTGTTAACGCTCTATGCGCAAGGTCTGATTTCGGGCGTGGTCATCGATTCGGGTGACGGTGTGACTCACATTTGTCCAGTGTACGAGGAATTTGCATTGCCACATTTAACCAGACGACTGGACATTGCCGGTCGCGATATCACACGATATCTGATTAAGGTTAGTTATCTTAACATTTTAATATTACTAAAGCTTAAAACAAATTAAAAAATTATTAAATTGAATTTTTACAGTTACTGCTGCTACGTGGTTATGCTTTTAATCATTCCGCTGACTTTGAAACCGTACGCATGATGAAGGAGAAGCTCTGCTATATTGGCTATGACATCGAGATGGAACAGCGTTTGGCGTTAGAAACCACTGTGCTTGTTGAGTCCTATACGGTGCGTAACTCATCAATTGTTTTGAGTAGTATAAAGTAACTAATGTATATTTTTTTCTTTTTATAGTTACCCGATGGTCGAGTGATAAAGGTGGGTGGTGAGCGTTTCGAGGCGCCTGAGGCGCTATTCCAACCACATTTAATAAATGTAGAAGGGCAAGGTATCGCTGAGTTAGTGTTTAACACGATACAAGCGGCCGATATCGATATGCGCCCAGAATTATATAAGCATATCGTGCTATCTGGAGGTTCAACCATGTATCCAGGTCTTCCTAGTCGATTGGAGCGTGAAATTAAGCAATTATATTTGGAACGAGTGCTCAAGAACGATATAGATAAATTAGCGGTATGTAAAAGTAAAACCAAAAAATTAAAAAAAAAAATATGTATAAAAGGTTAACAAATTTTTAAATAAAAGAAAATAATAAAACAAAAA